GGCAGAGTGGTGACAGCAGCTTCTTGCTACTGATGCCTAATACAGACACAGAAATGCGACGAAGCTTAACTGACGCCGCAGCCCTGTCGCCAGTTCCAATGATGGCAGTATTTCGTTACGGCTTTCTACTGAAAAGTGATCATGAACAGTGCAAGAGTGAAAAGCAAACAATATCAAATATAAAAAAATAATTATAATAAACAGAACAGCCAAACGCTGAAGTCATTGTTTCTTGCTGATTGTTGTTTTATGTTATTCTAAACGAGTTATGATGACGGTATATATCGAACGAATCTCTCCCTCTCTCTACGTACTACTTATACATGAAACTTCACATCGGCAGCGGTCCTCAACAATTGACAGAAACATTCTATTCACTGCTCCGAATACGAATTGATTACATAGGCCCTCGAACTGCTGTAGGCATAAAGCTTATCGGGTTTTTATTCGAGAAAATCTACTGTTGTTTGCCTATTTTGCATATCGCCTTGTCCATCCCTAGTTTATTTTCACGCTAAAAATGAATCGACACAATCGTCCAAGGACGTACCTGTTTCCAGCCAGTCCTCAGACCGCCTTCGTTGTGAATCTCTACTGCAAAAACTGTACGAAGCCGTGAAGGAGGTCAATCAAACACCCACGCACCAAAAATGAAATCAGCTTTTGCTCGTCGTCAACCTCCTTTCACCGAACGAAAAGCATCTCCGAAATTAGTTTACTCTTTCTTTTTACACAATGCAGTTCTATTAAGGCCTCCGTATTGGGGCCATCGTATACTGACTGAGTTCTTTTGTTGTTGAGGGCTGAGGGCGAACCAGAGGCAAAGAAAGTAGATTAGTCGAGGCAAGAGAGCGGTAATATTCCCTGTACATTTTGATATATAATACATTAGCAGATCGGTCATCAGGAAACGTTAGGAGATGACCCTGACAACGTTACGAGGAAATGAAAGCATTGACACAACAGCAAACCCTTTCTGAATGCAGACAAAATACTGATTTAGACTTGAAGCAGGGGGATGTACGTTAGACTTATTCATTGTCCTTCGATGATACTGTTTTTATTGTACTAACAGCGAGGATCCTGTAACCGCTCTACTGAAAAGCTATGTTGGAGCCTGATACTAAACTTGTTTCTACTAGTCCATGTTTAATATTGCAGCTTTTCTCATCATTGCTAGGCCCCCCGATCTTTTTAAGAAATTCTTAAAAGTATATTTTCGTTATTGGCCCCTAGATTATGACGAGTATAATATAGGTAATTTCAAAAGGTTAAATACCTATTAATACCCAAACAATATCCTGCATCCCTGCTATCGTTGCTACTCGACTCGTTTCGTTGACTGAAGTGCAAAAATACAAGCGGATTACGTTGCATTAACATCTCTCGCTTTTTCGTTCAGTTCCTTTCATCCTGTCATCTTTGCCACTAGCTGGGCCATCACCATAAAGTATACTCCTAAACACGTCTTTCAGCTCAGGCAAGACGGATCGTCTTGAGATATTAACGAACGCATATAATAGGACAGAATAGCATTCAAGATAACACCCAGAAAAAAAGTTTTTTTTTAAAATCAAACCCAGTTTATGTTGTTAAAGTCACTTCATATACCGTATCGCTGCCTCTACTAGCTTGAAGTTATCCCACACGTACCGTGTTTAGAGATTTTCGAATAATTTAAGCTATAGTTGCTAGTAACGGACATAGTTCTTGTAACTCCGAATAAACTCGTTCGTATCGCACATGATATAGATTCAAGCATTTTATTGCCTTGTAGATTTAATCAAATAATTATAGAGCCCATAGAAAAAGATCGGCAGAGCTTGCAAACATAATCTCGTTGATAGCCCCGCATAAGCTATTGTAATATGCACAATTGTGTTTACTAATACAAGCATAGAGGTATAAGAAATAAGTACACGTAATGCGGACATCCTTCGCCACCTAATCCTCTCAATAATCATTGAACGCTTCTGTCATTAGGCTACGGCCTAATGCCCTAAGGCCTGATAGCATCTCTCCCTTCTTCTCCCTCTCTCTCTCTCTCTCTCTCT